ATTATCTAAAATATGAAAGAAATGCGTAATTCATGTTTTGATTAGAATGTTTGCATCCTTCTCTGTTTACAAATAGCGAAGGAATTAAAAAGAGAATTATTCTTTTACTTTAATAGTGAATGCGTTTACCCCAATTTCGTATAGATATATACACAGAGAAAGTTTTCTTTTTTTTCTTCGTCTTAGTTCTTTACAGCGCACGAGGTCAACGTCTGCTGATGTCAAGTGTACAATATGAAGAACAATAAACAAATATAATCGTCGACACAAATAACAAGGAAAATCGAAACAAAGTGATTATGTAATTGTCTCTTATAAAAATACTTTCAGTAAAAGATGATTTTTGGCTAACTTTCGCATCACTATGCGCAAACATAAAAACTATATTGTATCATATTTAATAATAGGAGACTAATTTGAATCAAGCATAAAAGATAATACATTACTGTAAATATAGAGAACGTTTATCTTGTTTTCTTTTAAATTAAAATATTTCTTTGAATAAAATTTTCATATTAAATTATTTTATTAGAATAAAATCAAAATTTGAGCAGATAAATTTTCTATCGGATAAGTATGCACGAAAAATTAACCTTTTTTCATGTTAAACCTTGATCTCCTGGAAACGATTATAAAAGAAATAAAGACTTGCTGTCCTAAATCTTCTTATTTAACTTCAAACGTGATTATAAAGCGTTGACAAAGTCCGCGATGATAGTAAAGACTACACTTTAATTGATAAAACGCTAAGTATGTTAACATTCTGCTTTTCTTATTCATTTTTACAATAAAAACTTCCAAAGCACTATACTATACACTCATTTCTTAACTGACGGTACAAATTCCAAGAAAGTCTCGAAAGATAATTTTCGATTAGGCTATATTATGGATTTTGTTATTAATGAGCGACGAGACAAAGTATGATTATATGATTTTTGTCAAACACGTTTTGAATAAATTCAACCCTATAGCATTCAAATAGAACAGGTCCTATTAAATTAACATCATCTTTTCGGTCTAATCATACAAGATAGAAGTTCTAAATCCGAAATTTGCATTAGTCAATAATATTTCCATTCTTGGAAGTTCGTTGAAGTCAATTTCACTAGAGTATTGCAGAGTACGACATTTTGACAACTTGTAATCTGCCCTGTAAGTTTTTTTTAGCGTGCCCTGCCCTGAAATTTTATTGCATAACCTTCAATCAGCCCTGAATTTTTTGATAATGAACAAAAATCCAAACTTTCATGTAAGTTTATTATACAATTTCATTTCGGTTTGTTTCAATTATAAAGCAAAAAACCAACACTATACATCTTGAAAATTTCTTAAGATCAACGTATCATCAACAATATCATGATTTTAAAGTTGTATTCTTTTCTCTAATATTCTACTTGTTGAACTAAAAACACGCTCCGATGTAGTCAAACTTGCAGGAATTTCCAAGAAGAGATTATTCATAATGGTCGTCTGAGCTATCTATTGTTAAACGTGCTATTGATAGAAAATTGTTCTTATTCTCTATGCTATTGTGCGATTTTATCTCTCGCTTCTCATTAATATTTACGAACATCATTTATGAATTCCTTACAACGACTTAGATAATAAAGTAAGCTGTGGAAATATTAATGAATGTTTACTTCACCATGAATGTGTTTGTGACCAATCTAAATGGATTGTCAGCTCACTTTCATTTTAAACTTTTTCTTACCAAGTAACATTGGAAAGAGGTCTACAACATTTAGTGCGTAATATTAGTTACAGGTTGGCAGGTTACAACATTAGTACCCTGCAACCTGCCCTACCTTGTGGTAGCTGTAATCTGCCCTGACATTCCAGGACAGGACAGGGCAGGATATCTACAACCTGCAGTACTCTATACTTCATCCGCCCTCACAGTGGATTTTCTATTTAGCAAGATTCGCTTAGCCTGAGATTTTCAGGAATGAGTGGTCCTAATGAGAAATACTATTGATAAAACTTTCAATCCCATAAGACAAACGAAATTGAAGTTCTGGCTTACCAATGACCAATTATGGCCTCTGAGAAATCTCTAGGACTCTGTCATTAAAAGAACTACAACACTCGTGATGATTTCAAATCAAAGTCAACATTTATGCGCAACTTTTAGCCTAGCAGAATTTTAAATTTCACTTTCGTTCACTTTATATAAGCATTTTAGTAGGTTTCAGTTGAAATAAGTCTAAAAAATCAGTTCCCTCCGTCACCCCACAATATTAAATCCCATTATCTCATATCAGCTCAGGAATCAAATATAAAAAAGTCTGATAGAACAAACTCACTCTCACTCAGAACTTTAAAAGAAAAAAATACTGGTTATATCTTGAACGGTGTGTCAAGAATTTCAAAATTAATTGCTAAAAATCATGTTTTGAGAAAAACAATAAATAAGTTTAGAGATGGATTTTTCATTCCAAGTCTTTAGTCTCTGCACAATATGCGTGAATTATATATCTAACATGGAGGCTGAAATATAAACTTCTGATCGTTATCTTGAGTGTTAGTAGACGCATAATGATTGACATAGAATATTTTATTTGATGTTGACGCAAATGGAAAACTAGGCCCTTTCAGATACTGAGACGTTTCAAAAAATCGCGAGAATTTCTCGAAAAACAAGTTAGTCGTGTCCAAATCTTTTCCGATGAGTCTATTGGAATCTATATAGTTATCTTGCAAAAACCCATTTATATTCTGAAAAATGAAACTTCGTCGCATCTGTGTATGACAAACCTCAATTTTGATTTTTTTTTGAAAAGTTGGGTTTTCGAAGAGGAAAGACATTAAACTGGCATTAACCCTTTGGCGACAGAGTTTTTGGAAAAAAATAAAACTTCTGTTTCGACATATTTTATCCTAAATTAATGTACATTTCTATTTTATAAATTCTTTTTATAAATACGTGTGTTTAGAAGTTTTTCAAAGTGTGAGACAGTTCAAAAGACGTTACAACACATAAACCAACATTACATTGAACACACTCATATCTTGTTTTAGTATTTCTTTTTTGAGCTGTTGTTGTATTACAGCAGACATGGCACCTTCGCTTCTTTCTTCTTTCACATGTACCTTCAGCTGAACAACCTTGAATATGAGTGAAGGGAAATGTCGTGCAGTAAGCTTCATTGGATTTTTCAATGATGGTCTTCCTTTTTTTCGTTCTTTTGACTTTCAATAGATTCGAGAAGGAATCGAATCACTTCCAGTCGAAAGTCTGACAGATGCATTGTTTTTCCGATTTTGAACTTGTATAAGATGAACACCAAAATGGTCTCTAATAAATGCTATCACAAAACCTGATATTACATATGAATCTATGTGTTTCGAAATACTAGGGAACCACTGTGATCCCATGCGGGGTCACCCGCCGTCCAAGGGTTAAACCAAATTAAATCAATTATTATAATATACGTATATTCCACTTCTTTGCATTCATTCTTTTAGTTTGTTTTTCATGGAAATAACCCTTTCAAATCGTGCAATTTTTCTATGAATCGTTTTATTTGAGAGAAAAAAACTTGTTTTATTTTTTCGAACATCACAACCGAACGAATATGACCTTGAATAAAAATATATGTAGTTATTACGCATAGCATAGATGATCAATATTATATTTGGAAATAATTAATTGATATCTGAAAAACTAATTTTCGTTTAATATTCTGAGCTCAAGAAGTCAAACATAATCAACAATCAAAATATGTCACAATATTGCCGTTTTATGAATAAAGAAACAGTATAGACGTCGGTTATGTTAGAGTTGCCACATAAATGAATGAATGAGAAACAGCGTTACTCATTCTCATGGCCAATTTAGACCATATAGAAACAAACAAACGCTTCTTTTCGCTGTCGTCGTCGGATGATAGAATAAAAGATGTATAAATAGTTGATAAAGATTGACCGATGCAACACAAATGAACATGGAACATTCATGTGCTCAACTAATGGATATGCCCGATGAGATACTTCTGTTTATTTTAACCAAATTAACCAATATTGAGGTCCTTTATTCCCTAATAGGCGTTAATATAGAACTTGATAAAATCGCAAGCGATCCTGTCTTTACGAATCATTTAACATTAATGAAATGTTCATCGAATGGTGATATCTATCCATTGGCTACATCAATCCTTGATCGATTCTGTTTGCAAATATTGCCTAAAATTCAACATCAAATCAACTGGCTCAACCTTGAATTATTATCTATGAAACGTATTCTTCTAGCTGGCTACTATCCTAACTTACGTGGATTTGGTCTTTTTATTGTTGAACCTGAAACAGTTGCACATCTGTTTGTTGGTAAGAACTTTCATTTTGATTGATTTAATCTTTAAAATATATGAAGCACATAAAAATGGACATTTCTCATTCTTATTACAACTGAGTAGTTCATTGTACAATGTTTATTGAAAATAATTTCAAGTTTATATAAAAAACTTATTAATATAATGGTAGCATTAAGTCCTATGTCGAATGTAACTTATTCTGAGACTCCGATTTGGAAAAAAAACTACAATTTTGTCTCTTGCTTTTATCTGTTTAGAGGAAGATCATTTCGGGCACACCGTAAAAAATCGTATTTCGACACTGATCATCACATTATCCGACAAAGAAAAAAAAATATTCAGTAGAAGTAGAATGAAGGCAATCTGTACTCGTGTCTTTACTATATTTACCAATTTAATCTGTTTGAAGTTTTACCCATATTCTGATATTTACATTAACTTCGTTGAAAGATTGACATTTAATCAGCCAAGGGAATATGTAACATTTTCTTCTTCAACTTTGACACAATTATATATCAACGTTGAAACGTTCAATGACTGTCTTTATCTTCTTGATGGTCGTTTCAAACAACTTCATAGATTCTATGTTAATGCTCTTATCTCTACTCCTCCATTGTCAACAATTCCTAACACAGTGGGTTATTTTATTTGAAAGAATCACTAAAATTCTTTTATTTTTCTAGGCAGAATTAATAAATTTAAAATGTTTTTCATTAACTTGTGATATAGGCATAGGCTTTTACGAAGAATCGCTTGTGTCTCTCCTACATCGAATGTCGAATCTAGAAGAACTTTCCTTGTATACCTCGATCTGTCGTTTTAGCCATGGTAAAACATTCATCGATGGAAATAATTTGAAGCATGATATTATTTATCATATGTCAAAGTTAAAGAAGTTCATGTTTAGTATCCATTCAGATATATTGATCGATCAATCGATTTCTTTACCATCAAATGAAGATATTCAACGTACATTTGAAGATCTTAAAGATTATCAAATTATTTCTTATGTCGATTATTTTCCAAAGGAAAATATTGGTCAGTGTCATATATATTCGTATCCATCTAGAATGATATATTATCACAATCTTACAAATAGTTTTCCCGGTGGATTATTCAAATTTGTTCACAGAGTTTTAATATATGATGAACGTCCTTTTGAATATGAATTTTTTATCCGAATTGCTAAAGCGTTCCCATTTCTTAAAATGCTGACCATAGAAAATCGGTCACCTCAACTAAACGAAGATAATCAAAATTTACCAATCATTGAATATCCTCATCTTATTCATCTAGATCTCGCAAGTGCTCATGATAATTATATTGAACAATTGCTTGTTAATACGAAAACTTGTCTATCAAATTATATTCATCTTGTTATCTCTTACCGTTCTCTACAAAGAGTAACACACAACTTCACAAGAGATACAATGCGAGTGAATTGTGCCAAAGTCAAATATTTATATGTTTGTGATAAATCGGACGTTCCCGAACAATTTCATGTATATTTTCCCTATGTAGAAAATTTTTAACTATTGTTAAAAAGATTACAAAGTAAATACTTTTATTTACTTTACAAATCGTTTTTGATACATTAAATAATCATTATAGAAGAAATTCGTAATGATTCATTTTTAATATAATAAAACGAAATGTTTTTTCTGTTGATTATGTTCAAATTGATGATCTATATCAAAATGATTTGTTAATACACTTAAACTTAAATGCGCATGGTCTGTTAAGTATGCCAATACGATGATAGAGAAGATAATATAGCATCAGGTTCAGTTTGTTGAAATTTTGTTTCATTTGTATTATCATCATCGAAAATAATTCAATCGGATGGTAAAGCAAAAAATAGTTTAATCGATTTCCTTTAATATAATATTGATCGGCATTTGTTGATAATCGATTCGATAAATGATGAGCAGTTGTATGAATAATTATCGGAGATGAATCAAATTCTAATTCTTCAACAATAACTGCTGCTAACCAATTAGTATGACGTTTTGATGTATTTATATCTGATTTAATATGATCACCAAAATAACTAACTAACGGATCTTTACTACTTATTCGACTCAGAATCAAATGTAAATCTTCACTATTACCAAATCAATAAATATAATTTTTATTAAAATCTTTAATAATATCTTCAATAGTAACTAGAATAATATTATTTTCAAGGGGGAGCAAATTGATTTCAATCTCTGAAATCACATGAAATCAATAGAAATCATCATTTTTCTATTTATGAGCCAATCCACATAATCCACGACGGATTCATACAGAAGCGGTTCAATCGCGGTCATCATATTTCGCTCAATTAACGATATGTTGTAAAAGGAAGAGTTCTAAGAATTTTGACGCACACCGTTTTAGAAAATATTAATCACTTGATTTTTTATGAGGATTGTACGAAAAGCCGTAACATTCACCATATCGAGAAAGGGGGTCTTATTGGACTCCTATTTCAAGAACAACTCAATTAATTGAGCTGAACTGTTTCAGAGACATATATCTCGGTGACCCCTATTTACCAAAACATTTTCGTTGTAAAATATTGAATTGTTGGGATTTTATGAATTACTCCATATATATGAAAAAAGAAAATCATTCAAAAATTTGCTGTACTTCCCTCCATGTCTCCTGAGANAACTATATCCGAGATATAAATCTCTGAAGATATATGACTTCCATAGAAAATCGCCACTATTTAGGGAGACTCATATCTCTGATATAGTTTGTTTAAAACTTCTGAATTTTTTTCTGTAAATTATTCTCATTGAGACCTTCACGCATCCAGAGTTTCAGGTTCAAATTCGAAAATACGACTTTGTTGGGAAAGAGGGTCCCGCACAGAAAATTCACTGAAAAATGGAACATCTCCCTCCAGACTAGCCAACAGCAGCTAATATTTTAACCTTGTTAGTTTGACGGTGAGAGCTTTCTTTTGATGCAAAAATAACCGGTCTTTTCAACTTACGACACAAACACCTCCATTGTAAGTAGAATTTATCTTATATAATACAACTCTTCGAGGAATTTCTAAACTAGCCTGAGTACAGTTCCTATAGGAAATGGCCCATTTTTAGGTACATTTTGATGTCTCCTAGGGCCATTCTTTTAGATGTGACACTAATTTTTGTCGCAGGGTTGTAGCCTAGTGAAAGTACTTCTAGTTTCTACATATCAACTCCCAAGGAGATACATTTCTAAAAACCACCATAGTTGTCAAAAACCCTTTTTTCAGAGGACTGTTCTGATCAAACGCAATAATACAGATAGCTGAAATTCTTAGGAGCGGTACATCTTTCAGTGCTCTTTCCATAGCGAAAATTTCATATCCATATCTAATTCCAAACAAAAGTTTTGAATTACGCAAGTTACCAAAAATGTTCCTTTTTTCATATATTGAGTAATTCATAAAATCCCAACAATTCAATATTTTACAACGAAAATGTTTTCGTAAATAGGGGTCACCGAAATATATGTCTCTGAAACAGTTCAGCTCAATTAATTGAGTTGTTCTTGAGATAGGAGTCCAATAAGACCCCCTTTCTCGATATGGTGAATGTTAGGGCTTTTCGTACAATCCTCATAAAAAATCAAGTGATTAATATTTTTTAAACGGTGTGCGTCAAAATTCTTAGAACTCTTCCTTTTACAACATATCGTTAATTGAGCGAAATATGATGACCGCGATTGAACCGCTTCTGTATGAATCCGTCGTGGATTATGTGAATTGGCTCATAAATAGCAGTGATCGAAGGAAAAATGATGCTAGAAGGATAGAAATGAGTTCGATTGTATAACACTAATTCGTAGATTAAGATCATTGTTTCACTTAATTTTAGTGGTTTCAAATACAAATACTGATTGTCGAATTCACTCTAGGTTCATTAACTGGATATTCAGTAGTTCTTGGTACCCAATCGGACTGATGATGTTCAGTGATTGAGTCGCGACTGGAGAGTGCATCCCTATTCCCACGAAAGCGGTGGAAATCAACTGAAATCACGTTTTGACATCGGAAATCAGAAATCACGAAATCAGTTTGTTCCCTCTTGTGTGAAAGATATCATTCACGCAGCGCATTTTATAATGATAAAATTCGAGTTTAAAAAAAGATCAGTTAAAATATCATTACTGAAACACTACATGTGTGTGACGCAACTACTTTGATAATTGCTCTAATTTGAAATTTTTTTTCTTTATCCAATGGACTAATATCAATTTTAATTATAAGAGTACTCAGATGAAGAGGGCCGATCAGACGTAAATCAAACCTATCACTAAAGCTTGCATGAAAACAAATATGTAACACTAACGTGGAAGTCCTAAATCAACTATGCGTATATTTATTAACAACCGCGACATGACTGGTGAGTTTACTATGAACCGCTAGTTGTTCTTGCAATCTTCTTTCTTAAATGCAATGGCCGATACTCAACCATGGTGCAGTACAATATTTTTTGTTCGTTAAAAAAGTATTCTCCAAAATAATTTCTATTTATCATACACTATTAGTTAAAGAGATATGGCCATCAGTTCATTTAAAAACATTAGTTCTCATTAAGTACTAGAGAATGTTAGTAGAGCATGTCTTTTTTAAAATAAAACTGATTCATGTATCTTCTCCTCTTCGAGCTTAATCACTTTTTCTAACAAGATTGAAATTCACTTTAAAACGTTTTTCTTTAGCAACTCTAATCAATCCGAGAAACCCTTGGTGCTAATACAGAGCACGAAAATCAAGAGAAGAAAATTATAACAGATTTTCAGTACTCCGATCAATTGTAAAAACCGATGTCAAAAACAATTTTGACAAAACTCGCTAGAACAATCATCATTTTGAGCTTAAATCTAATACTTAACTCATGTATTCTATGAAAAACAGTAGATGTGGAATATTGAAATCGACTTCTGGAATTCTTTAAACTTATAAAGCATATCGTTCTAAACGGTTGTATTTTTAGAGTGACTCATCATTCTGTATGGATCCCATAAAACTTAGGTTTTAAGGTGTAGAGTAAAATCTGCTGAGATAATACATTCACTCTACAAGTTAAATGGAGATTTTACACTCAATTCATATGGGGTGAATGTATAATCGGTAAGTAGTGTTTATAGAGTACGCTGTAGATAGTTCTATTCACATGATTTCCGTGAACAGATTTTACCAATCAATAGAGGAGAGATCTAGTTAGATGTCTTGTTAAGAAAATTTTTCAAACAAAAGAAAAAGAAAAAAGTTATAATCAATATTTTCGAAAACCCACTCATTTTTTGTCTAGATTCACTCCAGGGTACTCTTTAGAAAATGTTTGTAAAGAAAACATTGGTAATTTTATCTAATAAATAATTTGAAAGTTGTTATGGGGTAATAACAAAGATAAAATCTATAGAATAGCCTCTTATTTTCATCAAATGGAACCGAGCAAAGATTCAAATCAAACTCAACCGAATTGTTCGAGTTTTTCGGAATCCGCAAATCGAATCGACCTGTGTTCTCTTTCGAATCTAACCGGTTCAGTGGCTGATTATTGTCACTTTGGCTATACTAAAATATCATGTTTGATCAGAAGAAGTCGTGTGACTCTAAGAAGTGTAAAAGAAAACTCGTGATCTAAAATCTGAGTGACCTCTATGCACATGTATATCATAAAATGATTGTGAACACCAATTAATGGTTTAGACGCTTTGTTTCTTTGTTAATTACTTGATAATATATGTGTGTAGCCTGAAGGAAAAAAACAAAATTTAAAAGAGTAACAAAAGTGAAAGTACATTTTATGGAAATTCTCCGAAGCTGTAATCAATACAACAATGATGATTATGATGATGATATGGAATTTGTTGGAAAAAAACGGAAAAGAATGATTCGTCATAATTTCGGTGCATTTGAAAAATACACCAAAGGTATTGGTATGAAACTATTAATGAAGGTATTGTTATTGTTCTACTCGAGACTCGATCAGTAGAAGTCATTTTTTGTTTGAAATTATAATCTATGTTCTATAACACGTCAATTTCAATTAGAATAGTTGAACTCTTCAAACTAAAATTTCTTGCATATTGAGCGTATCTCACAGAGATAACGAAAAGTTTTTTTGTTTTTAAATTTCAATTTCAAAAATAAAATAATAGTAAAATATTTAGATGGGCTACGAGCAATGTCGTGGTCTGGGAAAAACCTTGCAAGGTCGTGTTGAACCTATTCAAGCGATTCAACGTCAAGGTAAAGGTTCAATTGGTCGATATGGAAATGAAGACCCAAATCGTGTTATAGCTACTGAAGGTAATTAATATAATTTTTTTTTCTCTAATTTTATATTATTTATTGTTTTTTTTCCTTCGTAGAACTTGAAATTCATGAATTAACAGAAAATTCGAAAAAACATGTTGGTCCTACTGCTCTACAGTGGAGAATACAACAACGAGAAGTAATATCTCTTCTTATTCTATTAAACAAGACTTTCTGTTTTTTTATTTATTTAGAAAACACCGCAACAAGAATATGTTTGTAAAACTTTAAATAATGTTTTAAAAGATCAAACAACAAAATTTCATAACAAAAACTCAAGTAAACAAATGCAAGAAAAAATTATTGATATGACTGGACGTGAACAACGTATTCTTCAAAATTATGATTCAATAAGAACAAAACAATATGATAACGAACAAGTATTTTCATTAAATGAATTAACACATAATCTTGATTTAGTTATTGAATCATGTGAAGAATCAATGATTCGTTCACATCGACGGTAAATACATATTATTGTGAAAGATCTAGGTTTTTTAAAATTCATTGAGAAACGTTACTCAGTGATGATGTAATTTCTTCATTGTGTTTTTCTCGTTAAGAACTGAGCGTTTAAAAAATCAAATGAAGCAGAGAACATAGTTGAAAATTTTGATCGGAATAATTTAAAGAAAACACTAATAGTATTTTTTTGTCTTTCTTTGGCCGAAGGTTTTCGTGAATATCTTGCTGAAAATCATCAAACTTTCAGAAATAACTCTGATTTCAGCAATTCTGTATTATTGTGACAAGAGAAAATATTCTCTGATACAGATATGTGGCATTTCTCTCTTCAGTTACAACCATAGACCTGAAAACGATCAGATCTGATTGTTTCCTTGTCATCATAGTTCATCTATAAAATCTCAATATTAAATGCATTAGATAGGCAACATCAGTACTTGGGTTCGAGCTGTTTTCTTGATATTATAGAAAAAAAAGTAAAATTACGCCGTTATTCAACTTTTCTGCGTCAACTTATGTGTAGATTATGATTTGATACTAAACGAAATGTGTTTGCTAAGTATTTTCTAAGATCTTTAGAGAGCTAATCATCTAAAAAATTCTCATTTTTTGTCCAAAAGTACGAGTCTAATTGTACTTGTTATTTTAGACGAAAATTTGATGAAGATACAACAGTTGCATTAGAATACGATTCAAGTTATTTACAAAAAATTATGTCGGACGAAGAAAATAGTATGAATAGAATAAATATTCTATTAAATATGATTAATCAGTAAGTGAAATAAAAATAAATTATTCTTTCAAGAATTTTGTTTCATTTTAGATGCGAACAATATGTTAATCAAGTTCAAAATATTTCGAATTTATTTTTTTTACAACAAATGTTCGATGAATTTAAACGAAATTATAACAAAGAATATAAAAAATATCGTTTATGGGATTTAGAAGGTCCTGCTTTACATTGTTATTTAAAAGAACATCTTCAAGTTGGAATATTTACGATGAGGATCAAGAATTAATCGATTTATTTTGGAAATGGAAACAAATACTTGACGATGAAACTATTGATGTAACAATAGATAATTCAATTCAATCAACAGAAATTATGAATCCATATCATCGACTTGTATGGGATGTTTGGATGCCATTTTTACGAAAATCTATTCGGTTAGGAAATTTTTAATCAAAACAATTCAAAAGAAAATATTCATTTTTGTTTTTGTATTCTTATTTTTAGTGAATGGAATCCACGTGAACCCGATGATTTAATTGATTTTATCGAACGATGGATACCATATTTACCACGACGGATAATTGATAATATTCTTGATCAACTTATTTTTCCAATGCTCCATCGTGAAGTTGATTCATGGAATCCATTAACTGATTCGAAACCTATTCATTCATGGCTTCATCCATGGTTACCATTAATGAGATATCGTCTTAAGCCACTTTATCAACCAATACGTACAAAATTAGCACATGCTTTACAAAATTGGCAACTATCAGATTCATCAGCTAAAGCAGTTCTTCTTCCATGGCAAAAAGTTTTTAAACAAGAAACATGGAATGCATTTATGAATAAACATGTTGTACCAAAATTAGTTTCAACAATGCAACAGTTTATTATTGATCCGAGACAACAAATTTTAGGTAATGAATTAATAACATTTTTTTTCTATTCGATAAATATTTGTTTAGATCCATGGCATTGGTTTATTGCTTGGTATGATATGGTGCCATTACCAAGTATGATTCTAATATTAGAAAAATGTTTTTTTTCCAAAATGGCTACAAGTATGTTTATTTGTTTTGTTTTTCTCACTAAGAAACATTCTCAAAATGATTTACTCCTATATTCTGCTAATATGCAGAAGATTTTTAGAGTAGCGTAATCTCAAAAGGTTTTCTACTAATGCTTAGATTTGGTCGAGATAGTAACGCTGTAGTAGATTCTTCGTGTGCAAGTGTAGTTCTTAAAGATAAATAAAATTTTAGAATATTGACTTGCAATATTGTTCATACGAAGGTCTCGATTAGACTATATCATGCATAAAATTTGATTAGTTTTCCATATTCCATTATTAACAAGAGAATATACTTGACTATCAAATACCATTCAACTTCATATTGTTGCTACGGCTAGATCGCGATAAGACTAAGACAAGTTTTAAAAGGATTCTAACCTACGATCTACTGATAAAGAGTTGTGGCTGTTTAAATGAAACTTTTAATGAAAGGAAAGCATTGCTAAAAATTCTAAAACAAATATTCGATTCTATCGGTAAAAGTTTCTACTCAGTAGAGGGGCATGATAGTTTCAATGAAAATGACCTTGTCTTTCTCGAGATATTCGATTTAAAAGTAGACTCGATTATTGTGTCCACCCGTCATAAATCATTGCTTTTTGTTTCTTAAATATTGAATATCATGAGAAAGAGACATGTTCATTTTCATTAACATAGAGACATGATGAAAAATCTATATCTTGGCAATACGATATTGACAATCAATGAAGCTCTATGTATGCAATATTCTAATAGAAACATTTCCATGTATAAATTTGAAGATCAAAAATTCCAAATATAGATTTTTTTCGAGAACTCTGGCTCTTACAGAAATATTCTACTGAATATTCTCTATATCAAGCAAATCTCAGTATGAACAGAATACTTTCGAATATTGTGCCACTCTAATGACCTTCTATATATGAGCAAAATATGGAAGCGAACGAAGTAGATCGTTTGAGTATTTTCATTCGTTAGGTGAATACTTATTTAACAAAAAATGTTTTTTAGGCACTTAATATTTGGTTAAGTACAAACGTAAATTATCAAGAAATCCAACGATGGTATATTGGTTGGCGTTCATTAATTCCACAAGCAATTATCAATCATACAACAATTAGAAAAATATTAACAGAAGGTTTAATGATGATTGATCGAAAAATATCAGGAACGTTAAATATTCAACAAACATTTCCATCGCCATCTCAATCATCATCAAATTCTATTTCATCATTTAAAGATTTGCTTGAAAAGAGAGCTATGCAATATAATGTACTGTTTGCACCACTACGAAATAGAACATTTCAAGAAAAACAAATCTATCAGTTTGGCGATCATTATATTTATCTTGATGATAATGTTAGATTTTGTTTTGAAACTAATCAATATGTCCCAATATCATTAATGGGTCTCATAAAAAAGACTATTGATTTGTGATTTTCGTGTTGTTTATTATATTTGTTATTATAAAACGGTGTTTATAAATAAAATTGTTCATTATAACTTGTCAATCATATTTAACAACTTTTTAAATTATTTGATATTCCGAAAAAGCCTTTAGAATACAAATATTTCACATTTTTATTATGTAGTATATTTGATTATTTAAATACACATATCGGCAATGCAATAGAAATATCCGAACTGTTTTAAGTACAAGTGTCGCCGGTGAAACAATCTATTATGGTCTCGTCGTCTCATCTGTTATGGGGTTTGTTGAGTGTGAGAGGTAAGCTGTTGAGGATATCAGGTGTCATAAGAATTATAATGAGCAATGGCAACAATAAAAGAAATGATAATCACGTATGAATAAAGATTCACTGATTTATTTAATAAGCAGAAAGAGAAGCTATGTCTGATTTGAGATTGAAATATGTATCAAGTCAAGGTAACTTTTGACAAACGAAAATATACTGAAATCAAATATTTACATTCATGTACATATGTACCACATTACAAAAAGAATCAGAGGCAAATTATACAAAAGAAATAAATAGGAGGAAATAACAAACGTCAGTGTAGAACATCAATAATGATTACAGTATCACAGGGCACGTGTAGCCATTGAAAACGGACATCTGGACGGTTAAAGATAAAAGTAAGATGAGAAGAAGTCAAGTGGGTAACAGTGCTGTATATTGATGTTTCTCTCGTTTTTTTTTATTTTGGTTTAGTTTAATAGGAAAAGAAAAAGAAATGAAATTCACTGAATTTTAAGGAAGGGTGTAAGAAAACAGGTGAGTATTGATATGTGTGAGGAATAATAGACGGGATGGTAGTAGATGAAGAGAAATTCTTACGGTAAAGCAGAAACGCGGATAACGTCCTTTCGTAGCGCAAGAAGATTTCGTTGTTTTTTGCATTGGAACTGTGTGAGAGCACATACCAAGCCCAGAAATTAGTCGGTCGGATTTTTCAAGCTTGAATTCTTCCATGAGATTTCTAAAAAACTTTTTATGCTCTATATTTTCCAAACTCACCTGCTTATTGGTAATCCACGACGCTATTTACGAATATCCATATAAGAGATGTCAAAAATTCTTATTTACAGCTTCAAAGGAGTGACTGGGAGAGAACGGGAGCAAGCGAGTGTATGTGCGTTGGCTCGTTCTCTCCCTCTCTCTCATATTTCTCTGAACGTCACAAAAGCCTCTTTCATCGTTTCTCTGAAGGGACATATATGATATCTCTTAATCACTTATACTGCTATATCGCATGTACTTTTATTCTCTAGATTGAAAGGCTAGGGTCTAGAAACTAGAATTCAATTGTGTCTGTCTGTGCACCCTAAGCGGTATAGCGTTATAAGCGTTTTGAATTTGCCACAAATCCAAATTCCCCATCAACTCATGTAGATCTCTCATGGGAGAATTTAAGCCTGCAAAATCCGACGGACTAATTTTGCGAAACATAAGTGCATATATATATATATATATATATATACAAATAACCTTATAGATAATAAAGAAGGAAAATTGCTCATGACTACATTTGAAGAAGATTCTAATCATTATCTAACGTAAGTCGAGGTTAACGACCGTGCTTGTTCGACCTGGGCAAAATTGATGGATGCGTCTGTCAATTTATAAATTTATGATTTATATAATTTTCATCTTTCGCCTTTTTTTTCTGCTTCTGCCTGTATTAATTCTAATCTGCATGTCAATTTCTCTTTCTGCTCGTGTTCTCATAAAGGTACGGTACCATTTTCCCTAAATTGAAATCCCTAAATTGATCCCTAAAAAAAATCTCTATTTTAAAAATTCATTTTAACGTTAGCTTTGGCCAGAGCCAACACCAAAATAAATTTTTAAAATAGGGATTTTTTTAGGGAACGATTTAGGGATTTCAATTTAGGGAAAATGGTACCCATTCCTCATAAAAGTCTACTTGTACTACCATATGCATGTGTTTTACACGTAAATTCTACGAAAATTACCACTTGTTTACTTGATTTCTTCTACACCGTTCAAAAACGCACGCTTTTCTTTGTTTACCTTATTGCGTAATATGAACATCGTCATTAGAAAATAAATAATTGTTACTAATAAACGCACGACCAATAATTATTTCTATAAAAGAAAACGAGAATACTACTTTCAACACAAATATTATGTTCCATTGGCTGAAAAATCACGTCATATAATTCAACCATACATCAGCGTGAATTGTCGTCAGAAAACATCGATCCAATCACTAAAACTCGAAAAAAAAATATCACTGGAACAAAATCGCTAGTCTAACTCTACCGATACGAAGTATTTCCGATCCACACTCACATTTGTTATGCACGAGTCCTGCTAACAGAGCTGCCATTCAATAGTACTCATAATTATGCATGTAACACAACTAGTTAGAGAGCTAACACAAGTTCAGAAGCGAATCCGAGCTAGAAATACAGCGTTCGGAGATTGGTTGTTTGAGGGAAAATCGATAGTTTGGGGAAAAGGGCATTTTTTTTATCAGTAAGACGTACTTCGAACAGTGCCAGTCCACAGAGAATTGAATTCTGCACTCAACGCAAGCGGTTTTAGAGTTAACACAGATATACTCGAATCCGTTGCTAACTTTACCTACGTTACACTAATGATCCCAATATTGCTTCGTAGCAACTTCAATGATTGTCCTCAGGTCTTTCATCCCATATTTTATTCTTTCTGTAAGCCCATACGCAACTTCTGGAGCCATGCATTGTGGACGTGTTGAATCAACTGCCATTGCACATTTTTGATAGTAATCGCAGTCATAACACATTGTACAATTGTAGCGAAGTTCATCATGATTAATAGGGCGATTGCACTTGTTGCAATACCAAAAGTTTAATTTTTCAGAACAAGTTATGTTTACCTAAACTCTGAAAATACATAAAACCAATTTTCATTGAAAATTGGTACTCAGTAGAATATTTTCAAAAGATTGAATAGTATAACTATAATTTTTCTTTTTCGAATAATATAATGCTGCATCGACAAGAAAAAGAAGCAGACTTTTTATTGATAATATTACAGTAAAAATACGATGATATTTATTAGTTTGAAATATCAGGTATTCTATTTTGTACTTGAATATTGAACATATTAGAAGAAATGAAACGATTCGCTCTGCCTTCTCATTGCTCACGACTACAAAGCCTATAGATATCTGACGATAACGATGAAAATTCAAAGTATATTTTTAAAACATATTCTGTGCGATATTAATAGTAATAGTAAAACGTTCTTTCTCTTTGTGTCCCTTCGATTATCAATGAATAATTCATATTGATCTAGTCTATGAGTTAGTATTTCTCATGAGATTCTCATTTTCACTAGATTCATTTCGTCTAATAGTATATATGTATGCCGACTATATTACGAAGCATATAAATTCAGTTATATAACATAAACAGGTTTCAAGTGATAAATAACGGCATCTGTCGAATTCTGATGATATTCCAAGAGCGATTCATTTAGTATTTGCATAAAATGTACTACGTAGTTACATATGAGCTTTAATCTGCGATTAAATGTTTTATACAACTACAAATATTCAAATCTTGGCAAATAACAAAGAAACGAGTGCAATCCATTAGCTATAGCTGATTGCCAAGAGTAACTACTTCAATTTTCTATTATGAAAAAAATCTGTATTTCATCAAACTTTGGCAAGAGTATTAAAATTTTTTTTTGCTGGTAACTGTTACAATGTAGCATTATCTCATGTTAGATAGTTGATGAGGAAGTAATTCCTTCAAATAATGTATTCGTTTCTTTTTTATTCTAACTATATTTATTCTTGGCAGTATAATAATAAAATTTATCAATTAACCGATAGGTCCATCAAGAGAATCTACAAAATGTTTCATATAGAGATCAGATGGAGCCTTTTGACTGATCTCATGCCCATATGTTGATCGTAAAGATCTTTCCTTCCATACAGGCAACGTTTGAGGTACAATGGCATCAGCTGGTATTCGAGAACTAAATGAATAACGTCCACCAGTATGCATTGCCGCTTTCGGATGATTTGGATAAGAGCTTCGGTATTCACTATCAAGAGTATGTCGAGCTCGATCACGCCAAAAAGGGCGTGATCGTTCATAAGCCATTGATAGATTGAATCCTTGAGATGCTCCTGAACAAAAAACATTGATATATCTCAACCACAATAGAAAGATAAACATATTCACTAACCTGTATAATCTACTCGATATGTCGAATCTAGTTGATTTTTCAATGCTTGTCTTGTTTCTTCAGGTGGTACGTCACACACACTTTCAGACCGTCGAGGCCAGTAAGGGAACTGTTTGTGTGGATGAGGCCGATTGGCTCTATTAGTATTTGGACGCATGAAATGATCCCGTTGAACGTTCTTTGGCTCATTAAAATCGATTTTATACAAAGTTTCGCCTACAGGTTCATTCAATTGAAACGGGCAGCCGATCAAAAAACGTTGACTAGGTGGCACACCTTCATCAATCGATGATGATCTTTTCAAGAGGAACTCTCGTCTATATGTCGTTTGATATGCTTGACTTCTCTTCAAAGAAGAGCGTGTATTCGATTGTGAACGTGTACTAGCTGCCATTCGAAGTTTTACGAAATGATGACAATAGCCGAAAGCAAGTATACATTATTGAATTAGATGATCATGCTTTCAAATAATTATAAGCAAGGAGAGTAACAGAACGTAACAGCATCGTCCTGGAAACATATTTACAACAGCTACCTACTGAAAAAGAACAAAAAAACTTCTATTGATTTTCAAACAAATAGTGTAGATGCTTTTTTTTACAACCAATAATCATATTTTTCACCCAATCATATTAATAATACGAATTTATATGTAAAAAATTACTTGAAAGGTTCTAGTTTCTTTCAATGATTAACAAATATTTAAAATTCTGTTTTGAAGGTGAAAGGAATAAAAACTATCATTGCAGACAGACGAAGAAAATGAATAGAAAAAAAAAACAATCAAAAACAGAGTACAAACTATTTCCTTTGACAAACAAGAATGTCCAGTTGAAATAAGCTAGAAAACAATTATAAACAAGGAGTGGAAGTACTCGCAAGCAATACATCGACGAACTAGAAACGACTGTGAAAGATCTCTCACATTGTACAGGTATCTGCTTATATCAATGCTACTTTTGAAGGTGTCCACAATATAACAAGCATAAATAATAGAATAACCTATTGATTTTTGGGTTAGTTGAATTGCCAGAATCATATCAAATGATTATTCATATAAAACGGAATGTTCATGAAATTCATGTTCCCAATAATATAATACCATTTCTGATAGATAGACAGATAAAATATATGCACGAAATAAAATAAAAACAGTTGATATTTTCACTGTAAAATTTATTCCAAAAAAAACACAGTAGAACAAAACAAAATATACACTATTGTATTAAGCTTATAACTATAATTAAAACGAGAGAAACAAAAAATTTGAAAAACTATTAACGTATTCTATTCTGAGAATGAGTATAATTTTATCTATTTTTATATAGCAATTTCAAATAAAATACAATTTTAGACTAGTGAGATTTTATTAAAACCTTCTTTGTTGTCAAAAAGAAAATATGAATGACTATGTTGACAACAAAATGAATATCCAGCAGTACAATTCATTGTATGACTGGCTAAATAAGTCATTATTTATTTAGGTAACACTTTATTTTGAAATAAAAATAGAAATAGAAATAATTCGCTTCGTAATAAGACATTTATTGAATGAAATAATAACTGAAACAATTGACATAAATGATCTCATAAAAAGAAGAATAGTAAATAGTAATCGAATTGATTTATTGTTTCTAATGATAAAAGCAGATAATCAATATAATCTTGAAGGTATGAGTGTGGGCATGGAAGTAGTTGAAAATATAAACAACAACCATACTCATATATGCGGTTATATGCGGTTATATGTTATATTGAACAATTTCTGGCCAAAACAAATACACTTCTACCTCATCTAACTCGTCTAAAAGCCAAATACAACGACTAGAAAACTATAACAATAATTTTTCCAAGAGACTCAACACGTCATAACTGTTTTAGAGTGAAACAATTAATTGTCAATGAGTTAATCTTTTTCTCAAAAGATGGTTATTAATATTTTCCTTCACTGTAAATTAGATTCTATGTTAGTAACTTAACTAGAATAAAAAATAAATAATGAAAATTGTAATATTCATATCAAATAACTAAATCTACAGTAGTAAAGTTACATATAAGCTATAAATGAACTTGTATATAATTATATTTATTTCATTGTTTATATGTAAAATTGATTAAACTCGAATATCATGTGATGAAAAAAATTGTGATGAGCTACAAGACAATAGTAAAATCATTGCTCATTAAGATGTTGCAACTGTTTTCAACCGTAAATTACTGTTAAAACTGTAGAAATGTTAAGCACTAAAAGTGTCTCGAGGTGACTCGGCAAAGCAACTAAGAACAGATGGCATTACACCGCCACTATCACCAGCTAATTAAAACAAAAAAAATGATATTAGCTAGTTGTCATCTTTAAGTTTTAAAGATCTGAATGAAAAGTTTTTTCAACTCAACAAGCCGATGATTGTTTGTGCATAGTCATTATAATCAACATAAAAACAGACATTTAATTTGATTTTAAACAATGAGAAAAAATTGTTCCATCTGTACATGTTCATTAATTAGGTGAAGAAAATATGCTTAAATAAACTACTTATTTCTTTTTCTTCAGATTGCGATTGCATTTGTGCTTAGAAAGAAGCTCAAGCATCAACAATAAGCAGCAATGCTGGGAGTATTGCCAATAAGGATAAATAAACTTTCTTCCTACTCTTTTGCCTACAGATAAACAGAAATGCAAGAAAATTGAAAACTTTTTGGACAATAGCGGGTTATAACTATGCAATATTTTTACGTACTTGAGAAGACCAGTCGAGTATATCATTATATTTTGACATACTTCGGATAAAATCCACGTAGATTCATTCGCTGCTTTCGTCAAGAATAGATTTCGCTCGTTATGATAAGAAATCATACTGCATTGACCATCATCACGCACCATATACTTCTTTGTCATTGATCGATATATTACGTTTTTACCACGAAATACTGATTCAAAAGAATAAATTTGAGGATATCCAAAGAAAAACAGCTCATCTGTCATATCCAAACATTAAGGATGACGTGTTACCGCGATAAGTCTTTTGGAATGCATTATTCATTGTGACATCGATATTCATTCTCTTGGAATTCATTAATTTCAAATTAATCAAAGTGTTGTTCATCGAGTCCTCCGTCTGTAAATTCTGTTTTACCGTCAAAAATGTCACATCAATCAAGAGAAACTAGCAATGGTCCACAACGATTACATTTTCACTGCATGTAACATAAAAGATTGTTCAAAACCGTAGATGAGTCGATACAATCCTAACGGCTTTTTTTCTATTGTTGAAATATTACTTTGACAATGTCAAGAAATGATATAGACTTGTCTTCCGTGCCAAATCAATATTGACCCAAACGGCTCAGTCAAGATGTACAATTGAAAAAAACCTGTTTTAAACACTGAATTATTGTTATTCAGATTGATTTGATGTTGTTCTGCAAGATCAATCGATGCTGATCACGAGTAAAACTGATGACTGTTCACATTTTTTATGCATAATAGTTCAAATGTGAAATGTATATCTCACATATTTGAAAAATGCAATAAATCGTGTTCCGAACTTGGAAACAATGTGCTTTGATCACCAAATTTATTTATTGCGAAATTTACTAGAAAGTAGTTTCTATGACTTATCTGGTTGACAGTACGTCCGCAGTATGTTGTCTCATGTAGACTAAGAATGGAGAATACGGTTGAGGGTAAGAGTTATGTTTGAGTGAAGATGAACATGCTTAAGACATCAAGTGTATCACGTACATATTCTAAGTACGCGACTTGAAAAATACTTCTAAAATATCTTCTTTATTTATTACATTGATATAATAGATGAAGAAATCAATGCTAATAACTTCTTTTATTAGATAGTTTTGTTTAGTATTTAGTACTCGTATTATTGTGCTAACTGAATTGAATTAGATAATCGATTGCCAAAAAACAAAATAGTTATCGAATTGTATTGCTGCAAACAATAATATAATATTATGCATTTCTACAGTGATAACATTATTTTTGATCGCACGTATCGTGCCCACGAAGAAAATATTGTCAATAGTAGTTAATCAATCATTTGATAAAGACATTTACTTAAATTAGTGCTTCGATAGCATCGTCGATACTTCCAAAACTGTTATTGAAAAAAGAAAAATAGCTGAAGACTTGAAATTACATTATCATTTGCTCGATTTTCAAAATCTACTAGAAAATCTTAAAATCTCAATATCATACAGAAAAAATTCAATTTGAAATAACGATATACGAGTACTTATATTTGCTGTCTACTAGTAAATATTTTCTCATCTTCATTTATATTAGCCAGTGAAAGAAAGTTGTATTTCATCTTTAAATATTTTGAGCAATAAATTCATATCAGTACAACTCTTCCAGATGCGTTGGAAACAAAAAAAATTAAAATTACATATTCAAGCATGCAGGCCTTCATGAAATCATTTTTATTTTATTCAAGTTTTACTTACAGATAGCCTTCATCAACACGAACAATAGTATTAGTATACAATTTAACGAAACAAAACGAAATCTTCAAAAACGCATTCGCGAGCAAGAAAAATGTTTATAATGCACCATAATAGAATAAAGATATGATTATTAGTCAACAAAAAAAAAGAAAAAAGAATTTGCAGAATAAATAATAGGAAGCACGATAAAGAAAAACGAACAGATGTATCTGACACTCGGTTATAGACATAGTTAAGCGTTGCGCTTTATACTTTCTCTTGCTGCATTTATTAAAGGTACCAAACTTACTAATGGTTTTGACATTTTCAAAAATGGATGCTGAAAAGGAAAGTGAAAATTTTCGATCGTGTTTTATGTTTTTTAAATAAAAATACAAACTTGAAGAAGTTGTGATGCAGTAGCACGTTTATCAACATCTACTTCAAGACATTGATCAAGGAAATCTTCAAATAAAGATGACAGTTTTTCTCGACCCACGATATCTGGTTTACCATTAGTTGCAATTAAATAAAGAGCCTACAAAATTTACGTTTTAACTAAATCAATATTTTATGGAACATGACATTACTCGTAATGGGCTTTCATTAAGATATGGCGGCTCTCCTTCAATCATTTCAATTGCCATTATTCCCAAACTCCCTAAAAATGAATCCGTAAGATGTTTTTATTATATAAATATTATTTATCAATACTTACAGATATCTACTTTTGGTCCATACTGTTTTCTAGTGACTACTTCTGGTGCCATCCTACATTTCAAAACAAGATTTTGTTAGTATCAAAAATATTTCTTCTCTTACCAATAAGGCGTGCCAACCATAGTTTGCCGTTTCGATTGATCTTGATTGATTTGAGCACAAAATCCAAAATCCGTTAATTCTAAATAAAGATTCTATACTATCTATCACTATTCAGCAATATAAATTTCAATACATACTGACATTTCCTTCGTTTCCTAATAGAATATTATCACTTTTAATATCTCGATGAATAACATGGTTTTTATGAAGAAATTCTAAAGCTTGTAAAACTTCGCGACACACAGCTGCAATATGTCCCTCTTCCATAATTGTCTCAGTAACAACATCTGTCAATGATCCACCTGGAAGATATTCCATAACAACCTAAATTAAACACGAGTTGGAAATCTTTATTGTTTCTATCTAATTTTACCCAAAGTTCTTCATCAAGTAAATAAGAATCTTTATAATTAACGATATTTATGTGTCGATTATGTTTCATAACAGCTATTTCATTAATAATCAATTCTTTCTTTGGTTGATTAGCTAAATTCATTTGTTTAATGGCAACTTCTTCACCCGTTGCTATTTCATATGCTAATAGTACTGTTCCACTAGCACTATAAAAAGAAATCGAGTAGAATTAATTGTTTAATTATGCAAATAAATATTCTTACCCTTGTCCAATTTTATCTTTACTTTTATATTTTTTATTCGGATCACCATGTGAAACAATCAGCCGTAATTTTCCATAGATTTCCTCATCACTCAATTGTTTTCGTTTTGATTTATCTCCATTTGCGGATATTAATTTACTGTTATCATCATCTATTGGTCTCGTGTACTAAAATCAAAATGAAATTATTTTTATAGCAATCAGAAGTCTAACTTGATAACTCCGTAACAAAATGATTAATTTTAAATAATATTCATCAAATATATGCTATCATAAAATAAACTGAAGCGTTACAGCAAAAGAAAGTGAATCCTTACTGTAGTATGAATTTTAAAATCTATTGATTTGAAAGCCATTGAAAATAGACGTTCATCAATGATAGTGCTAACAAATAATTGATATCAACTTTCAGTATTTACTCTACATGATTTAGATCTAATTAATTCCGAATTTTAAGATTTATAAATCTATAATAATAATTCAGTGGACAATAACATGAATGAAAAAGAACTTGTCAATTGATAAATTGTTCTTATGTCACTAGATAGCTGCTATTTAGATAAAATCAAATCTTAATGGACATGTGTATTCATGAGTTTCTATTCTTGAACTATAATGATTTTCTTTAAAAAAAATTCAATAAGATGTATCGGCCTTTCTCAAACCCATTCAAACTTGATTGTTCATGTAGCAATTGCTCACATATACAGTTTTTAGTGAAGTTAATTTATTATGATATTGTTGATTGCTCTAGTATATTCTATCCTAAGATATCAATCTATTTTTTATTTTATCATCTCAAGACATTGAAGTATTTTATTATTAGACAGTGGTAACTAGAACATTCAATATTATCACATTAAACTACTATGCATTCAAAAGTTTATTTGTGCGCAGCCTACTTCTAGAAGTTACTATTGATAATGATCATAGGAACATTAAAATATGAAGTGGACCAATTGACAAATAATTACCGATACAATGCTTAAATTCAGTTCTTTTTAATAAAAATATACTTGTGATTATCAAGACATCTGATGGACATTTATTTGAATCTAAATCAGAAGAATTACAAAACGAAGAAACTGGTGAGAAAAATTAAATGACAGCATTTAGTTAAACACTGAGAGATAATCATTAAACTCAAACTGATTGATTCCGGTCATTGATTTTTCTTTTCTTCAACACTATGCGCTACTATATAATAAATGAGATCATTCTGCATTGATACATCAGAAAATAGACCTTTTATGTTTATACTACACCAAATAATCAAAGAAGTTAATGCAGCGTAAGATCAAGGATTATTATGAAATCAATGAATTTGGGGGATACATCTGATAATAAATTTACAACAGCTTTGCAACATTCTATTTCATTCTTTCAATTGATAATTCTATTAATGAATATTACATACAATGCTTTTAGTTTTTTCTGGTCTTGCAGCAATCGGAGGTGGTAATTGATCATTATCGTAACGATTCGAACTTTGTTCAACGGACTAAACAAAACCAATTCAAATATTATTCTATGACATTAATTTAAAGATTATATTTTTTTACTGTTGTAGATTTATCTGAAACCAGAATGACTGTTTGACGAAATTTATCGGCTAAATCACCGGATATAGGCGGTGTTAAATCTAAGATGAGAAATAGAATTTAAATTACTTTCTTATTAAATGAATTGAAATTTTACTTTTATAAGACGAATACATAAATTTTGATTCTCTTTTTTGTGCAGCATGTTGATAAAAATCTAATGCATGAATAACAGCTTGGGGATTTTGTTTTTGTTCTTGTTTCGTTATTTTTGAACTTTGTAATAGACTTGACCATACTTCTGGCATACCATCGAATTCCCCTGTTGATGAATTGTACGTTACATGAATCGGATGATTAAAATTTGTTGGACGTGAGATTGTTAATTTTGATGGATCTTTTTTTGTCCAATCTATTCGATGTCGAAGAAACAAATTGAAAAAATAAAGAAAAAAAATCATCTTACCTTTACTATTCGTTTTTTTCTTTTTATTCAAGTCATCATCTGGTCGACGAGGAAGAGGCTTCATTTCAAGACTAAACGTCAAAATGCAAAATGATCAAAACTTAAGAAAAAGTCAATATAAATTTCAACCTTGAAATTGAATCCACGCGTACAGGCGGTGGTGGTGGCCGGTGTTCGTTCATTGTTGATATCTGGAAATGCATTTATAGAAAGTCTAATCTATACAAACAGATCCCACAAATAATACAATGATCCATAGTTCATCATAACAAAGAATAGTGTTTAGGAAGGAAGGAAGATATAAATAACCGTATTTTATTTGTTGAATGGGATTAACCAATCGATTGATTTTCCGATTAACTTGATTTATGTTTGATTGAACGAACAAATACCGGAACTAAAATATGTTCAATTGCATAAACGAAAACTAGTATGAATCTTACAAAATCAAGTTTGATTCATCTAAATACTACTTATAATTATTTCACACATTATCACAGGAAGGAAAAACTCAGCTGAAATGATTCAAATATAAAATGATACAAGTGACATCTATTCTAGACTACATATTTGACCGAATACGATCGTTCAATCAATCACATAAGAGAAAATATGATTTTATATTATAATGTAATGTAATGTAGTACACTGGAGATACTCTATTGACGTGTAACATTTCACTTGATCTTTTCATATCTTCTCTGATGTCTATCTACAACATGAGACATATTATGCTCATAACCATTTCCAGTGGGAAATTCCGATATACAAATCTTACATTCGTTCCGAATAACTACAAATAAATATAGATAACACTTTGAGAGATTCAACAATTATTATTTTAAAAAAATTCATCTCTATATATTAATACTAATATATATTTTATTTTCTATGAATTTATTTTAATCAAGAAAATTGATGTTTGTTCTACAAAAAATTAAGAGGATAATGATTTGAAAAACATTAATTTAAAATTTCTCAGGATTTTTTTCAATATCAACCGGATATCTTTTAATCACAGTTTTCTTTTTTCGATTAACCTGTATAACATATAAGAATACAAACGCCATACTAATATCCGAAAAAAGAAACCAAAGAAATTCAGGTCCAATATATTGTGACCAAAAAGGACCTTCTGATTTACAAACATGGTCAGCTCCGATCGATGCTGCAAATAAACCAATAGCTCCATAGATTCCACCGAAGATAAGAGACGGTAAAGCACGACGAGCCGATTTAATACATAATTGCGTGAGTAAATAGATGAAACAACAAACAGATACAACTCCAAGATAAAGAACATGAAATGTCCAAGTCCATTGATTTAATATTCCTAAAGTCCACAAAAGAAAGACAATACAATATGAAATCATCAGTAAAAAGCGAGTAAATTTTGATTCTGGATTTAAAAACTTAATATCGCATAAACCACAAAAGAAAAAGCTAACAGCAATATTTGTTGTCAAGCCAACATCAATAACTGCAAAAAGTATTTGCATAAATTCAGATGAATTGATATCATTATCTTGAAGAGCATTCGATAATTTCTGTGGATCGCCCAAAAAACAGTGTAATATTCCGGCTGATGTCATCATGATGCCATAAAGAAAAAAAGTTAATTGATATAGCCATCGTGTTGAAAATGTTCCGGGTAATTTAGAAATACGTTTAGAACAAAACAGACCGATTGTTAAAGCTAAAATGCATGTTGGAATAAGTGTAGGATTTCGAATACATAATTCATATCCATCGATATCATTAAAACACCATTGCACAGGTGAAGATGGGCATGAAGAGTTACTTGACGAATTGCTTCCATAAAAATAACTTTGTAAATTAGAAAAATATTGCATGAATTGCATCATTTTTGTTGTTTTTCCTTTTCAACTTATGATAAATTCAAGCATTTATATCTATATATTTGTTTCGTATCACATGATGAAGGAAAATTTTCTTATCTTCTAAACATGTTCTATATCAAAGAAAAGTGATGATAACTATTAACAATATATTTATGTAAACTTTAAAGGACGTGTGATGTAGATTATTTGCTTGAAGTATTTAGGTATTTATAATTTAAAAAAATACTGCATCTAAATTAAAATAATACAGTAATAATTTGGTTTGTCTGGAAAATTATATAAATTAGTTTAAAAGAGTGCACAATTTTTATGGCCTGATTTCTCTATCGTAAATAGATGAGCATAACACGCGCAGAAAAAAATATCCACCGAGAATTGTGTTTAAGTACTGCTGAGTATGTCTTCGAGATGTTATTTGAAGATCTCTTCCATCGGTGTACTCTGCTAGCACAATTTTATGAACTTCACTGATCAAATCATAGTTTGTCATGTTGAAATTGTAGATACTTGAACAGGATACAAAATCGTGCAATTCGACAATTGTCTTAAAAACAAGAAAGATTTCACTAGCACCATCACGAATCTTAACTTTATTCAGAGAAAGATTTCAGTCAGATAAAGATATAAACTATTATTTGTATTAAATAGTTTTTCTGATGGGAGATCCATTCGAATTGATATTTATCCTTGAAACGCGTATTGCGCTCTTAACAAGATTTCGTATAGGGTAGACGATGTTATGAAAAAATGTTATCAACAATCCTAGTATTGACTAATGCTCAATACCTGAAAAAAAATGAAACATCTTCGACCGTCAGCTTCAACAACTATTAAATGTGTTTATTGATTTTGATTTTATTCTCACTGTTATTCATTTAATCATAAAAATAGATCGTCGCATGATAGTATACATATTTGTAGAACTAGTTCCATATTGTTATTAAAGAACATAAACCAAATAATATGCTGTCCTTGCAGCAGTGAATCAGCGCGTTTTTAATATGCACATAAATGATCTGTTTGACTTCGATTTCATAGGGTGCTATTAACAAAAACATATTCAAAGCTATTCCAGGAAGTATGATTGTTTGACATTTTTTGTCAAAATACAAAATAAAGTATCAAAGCGATACATAGAACGAGCAAGGCATAAAAGCGACGGAAACAAGAGAATGAATTCAATATGCAATAAAAAAAAGAAAAGAAAAAATTACCATAATGTAATAAAAACCTAATATATAAAATGTACTATTCTCTAGATATGCATTTATTGCAGTAAAGATGTGAATGTAACTAGAGTGTAAATCCAACTTCTAGTTTTGATTTTATTGATAATAGAATAATTATCTTGAATTTCTAATGTTGATTCTATCGAACTTCCAGACATTGACAAGATTCACGAAAAGCTTTTGCACTATCGATTATCTATTGCTCTATTGATTTTATTTTCAACAGTGAAATAAAATTTTATTTCGATCTCTTTCCATGACTGTATTGATATCTCATGCATATGTAATGCAGTTTCAGTAATAATTAAATGCTTTCTACATATTGACGCTAAAATCAACTATATAACTGTATTTTTAAGGTGCAAAAAAACAAATAAAGACACAGCAATAGGTGAAATGGTAAATAATGATCAAGAAAGAAAGAAGGTAAGAAAGATACAGCTATTAAGAATATATTCTATGCCAAATTTCCTTTTACATTCATGATTTAACGTTGATGACCTAAACCCGTATGAATTGTTGAATTTCCTCGTGTATTAGCAGTCGATTCATGTATATCAAGCTAGAAAATAAAAATAATAACTTAACTTCTATTGTGTTTGTATTATTTAACAACTTACTCCTGGAGATGTACGACTAGTACTAGCTGAAGAACGATTTTTAGCACGTAATTTATTCAGTTGATTTTCAGCTAAATCAGCTCGTTCGTTTGCATCTTCTGTAAGAAAAACAATAATAATAATAAATCTATTATTCGATTTAAGGACTGATTCTCTGTCACATGTTAACATTTTCTTTCAGATTATCGGTTTAGAAAAATATTATAATCAATAATCAAACTCTGTAGATTTTCTGATCTGTAATAGAATATAATCAGTTGATATTACTTACAATATACAGATTTTTCTCACCATTTTTTTTCTAAAGACAATCCACAATTGGAAAGACAATATCGGAGTTTTATTAATAGAAATATGTTGAGACCTTCTACGGATATGTAGTATAGAAAACAACAGTCAGAAATAGATAAATATTGACTACATAATCATCAATTTTATGGATTAATTCGCTTGAAGATTCTCGCTCTTATATAGCCAGTTCTCAGCGCATGCCACTTCTATAAAATTCATGAAACATCCCGATTGAGAAAGATAGAAAATTTTCCAAAGAATTAGGTTTAGTTTTTCAAACTTCTTCAGAAAAACTATTAGAAAAATTTACAAAAAGTGGTAGTCACAATCATTCACAATATCGTGATATTGGTAAAGAAGCTAAATTTGAATCATTAATTTATAGGAAAAACTCTAAGAATAATGGTAGCCTGACTGGATCACTGTAAACCCGTTCAACTTGAAATAACATCTTCTCAAAGTTTCCACTATATCAGCTATGGTATATAGTGTAATAAAAATAGAAAACTAAATGGAATGGATCTAATCAACATACCAAGTTCAGATTGAATTTTTCGAAATTTAGCTAAATTTACTGAAGCAATTTCCTCTAGAATATAAATATTAAATATTAAATATAAAAAAAATAAAAATAAAACCAAGAGCTCTTTTACCAGCTTCTTCAACTTGGCGCTTATAGATTTTAATTTTATTGAGTAACTTTTCACTGAGATCTTTTAAATGTAATTGATGTTTACGATCTTCTTCTGTTTGACATACCAATTCTTTCAGACGGCGATCATTTTTACGTAATTCTTTAATGGTTTCTTGATGACGATGTTGTTCTAACTCATTTTCTTTCTCCAACTCATGTATCTGGATGAACAGTGACAATATTTAAAAAAAGAAGTAAACACTTGTTTTTAGTATGATATTTCTTACGCGTTGTTCAAGTTTCATAATAACACGTTTTCCTCCTTTGAGTGAATTTCCTTCAGCTTCATCAAGACGTGTTTGTAGGTCTTTTATTTGTTGTTCAAGACCTTTACGCAATCGTTCAACATTAGTAGCATGTTCTTGTTCTTGACGTAATTCTTCAGCAAGACGTGAAGCATCAGTACCTAATATGCATCATATCCCATTGGTATTATTTATATATATAACAAAAAGAAAATTATTTGATTCATGTATCATATTTCACTACGGATAAAAGATCCCATTAGAAATTCAATCAGTATCTCGTATATTAATACGATCTTATGCCATTCATGTTTATAGGTTTCTTCGAAAATTCTCGTTGGATATAAATTATATTACAGACCATTTTTCGTAGAAGTGAAAATAATGATAAATCAAGTTTTCAAAAAATAATCAGCAAAACTACGAGAACTACTTTGAATAATATAATCAATATTTTTATTAAGTTATTAAAATGACTCACGAAGTTTGTTTAAAATGTAGATGGTAGTATGAGATGCATTGACTCCTTCGCTATATAGAGTACTTTAGAATATGATAACAAATGAAAACTTATTTCTTTGAACAATTAAGAAAATACTACAAAACACATCCCACTTTTATTGTCATGAAGGGGATTTTTGTAGTATTGCGATGTTTGCATAGGAAAATTCTTTCTAATTATATATATTTGATTGAACTGTTTGTTATTCCTACACAATATCTTGTCGAATCGATGATTCTTTGTTTTTCAAAATTTCTCATGTTAATATTTATAGTAACGAGAAAATATTAAATAAGACCTTAGATAGTACTCACTACCTGAAAACAACTGGCAGATAGGCGTACTTTTATTGCTTCTTTACTTTACACATGTTATGTTCAAAGAATATAATTTTGTTAGCAAATATCTGTTTTTGTTGGTCTACTTACTAGTTTTCTTTGATCGTTCATCGCTATTCTTAAGTTCACTAATAGCTTCATCTAAATCCAATTGCATAGCTGTAATATTTGATTCAAGTTGTCGTTTTTGCGATGATAAATTAGCATTTTGCGTACTTAAATCACTAATACGATCAACAATATCATGTAGTTCATGTTCAGCAGCTTTACGAGCATGTTCAGTTTGCTCTAAAGTAGTGCGCACTTCTTCAATTTCGCCAATGATAATATTAGCGCGACGCTCAGCACTAGCAGCTGCTTCACGAGCTTCATCGCGTTGTTGTCGTTCATGTTCCATTTGGATTTGTAAATCTGAAAGATTCTGCTGATGCTTTTTTAATGCTTTTTGTGAATCCATATTCGTACGATTAGCATGATCAAGTGCAATTTCAATCTCATTAATATCAGATTCAAGTTTTTTTTTCTAAAAAGAAATTTAAAAAATCAAAAACAGATGAATTACAAGTTTAATTCTATTTTGTTTTGTTTTGTTTCTATATTACTTGTTTAAGTACTTCAGCTTTTGTGCGGGATTCAGCTTCCAAACTTGCTTGCATCGATTCAATTGTACGTGCATGATTACGTCTTGTATTTTCAAATTCTTCTTCTTTTTCATGAATTCGTCGATCGATTTCCTGACGTATGGTACTTAGTTCCATTTGTGCACGTAAAACTTTAACTTCTTCTTGTTCAAGTGCTGATTCGGCTTCTTCTAAAGCTGTTCGTAATTCTTCTTTTTCTAATTCAGCACGTTTACGAGCTTTCTCAATTTCATGAATATTTTTTCCTCCTTCACCTGATTCATCCATAAGATCCTATATAATTACAGAATTTTTTCATTAAGAATAACTAATCTTTTCGATTTTTTACTTTGATTTCATCAGCTAAATTTTTGTTTTCTTTTCTAAGTGCCTCGATTTGTTCATGAGATTCTTCATATTGACTTTTAAGTTTAAATAATTCAGTTGAATATTGGCGTGTCTCT